GGGGGGTAGGTGGGGGTGTGTGTGTACTCTGTGCTGTCTGCTTTGATGTTCAGCAGTAATAGAAAGTGGGGTTTCACCTGCCGGCTCCTCAGATTCTGCTCGGCAGGTTTTTTATATATTTGACTGACAGAAACAAATGACGACGGCGTTCCTCCTCAAACACCGAGCGTCGCCCGCTGGGTTCTCAGCCGTGCGCGGTGGCAGAGGGGGAGTTTGTCGGAGCTCCCCCGGTGGAACATCACACACTTTGTTGAAGAACCAAATAGGTTGTCATCCTTATTTAATGTGTGTGCCAGATCCGGGGGCAGTTCAGGGGCAGTTGGACCAGCGCCTGGTTGAACTTTAACTGCGGGACGATTAAACTGCGACTGCTGAGCTAACAGCTCCGAGGACCACGGCACCAGTTTGTAAATCTGAAGAAGGAGAAAAAAACCCAGATTTTTCACTTCCAGATTCTGAGAACGATTACTCAGAGAGAAGGCCTGTGGTGTAGCACAGCGCTAACTGTAGCGTTAGCCAGGTCAAATGAGTGAACTTGGTGGATCTGAGTCATCGTCAGCTACAAACGTGGGTTTCACGGAGGGGGAGAAAAAGTTTCACGCTTAAGAAAATATTTTGTATTTTTGCAAAGGCTACTACAGTCGGTGTAGCGGTGACACAGAGAGCAGAATCCTATCCCAACAACTGACCCTAGAGGGCAGGGTTTCGACGCAGACTCACAGGTTTCTTATATCGACATCACATTTGAAAATTAGCCGATTTAGTTGAACAACAAAAATGTACCTGCCTTGCCAAGAATCTTGCGATACGATACATATTACGATACAGGGTATCGTATTGGGAACATTCACCGATACGGTATATTGCGACGATATATTGAGTTATTTTTCAACAATGTTACTGTAGTCAAAGTGTCATCGTAGTAAAGAAAATGAACCGACACCAGGAATATTGGACTTGAAATTGGTGATAAAAAATCAATTACTGATGGAGGAGATTGATACGGGATCAGGAGAGGAGATATTGCGATATTTCAGCGTATCGATATTTTCCTACACCCCTAGTGGACATCATCATAATTACTGATTTAGAGTAGGATGTAAGAAAAAAATTAAATGAAAAAACGTTTGTAAATGGTGGCGCTTTGGCCCAGAGGTCAGTGTCTCTGTCATTGGTGTGGAACCCCAGGGTTCACCTCCTGGGCAAGTTCGAATCGGGGCAGTTGGTACCTTCCAGTGGACTCACCACCTGCAGGAAGGTTCAGGGGGGGTTGGTACGGTGCAGTGTGAAGTAGAATATAAGAAAAAAAATTCAATGAAAAAACTTTTGTAAATGGCTAGTTTTACGTAGCATCATTAGCATTGCACTGTGGGACAGTTACCAGAGACAACGGTAGGGTGAAAACAGCATCATCTGTGGACGGGAGCAGGACTGATTAGAAGCCCACTCCGTCTCCGGGGGGTCTTTAGTTCAAGGCCCACCTGTGATTTGTGATTCACGGCAGAGTCGCAGCGCTGCAGCGCCTGCTATCGATTCAGTAGTGGGACTCGTCCACTCGGTGGACTGGGCTTTGTGTATTCACACTTTAGTGATTTTTATTTTTCCTTTTTGTGCCCACAGTGACAGGCCATCGATTAGGAGCGGGGAGTTATCTCCCACCGAGATGCTGTGAGGATAGGCCGGGTAATAAGGGCATTAAACACGTCTGACTGGCCCTAAATAAAAGCTTTGTGTTTGCTTTGTTTTATGAAGACGGTGAAGAACACGTCATCCCCCGTTTGGATGAAGAACAGAAAAAGGCAGCAAAGTTCTCCAAATGGTTTCAGGAACGTCTGCGTTCTGCTGCTCCTCTCATGTCGTGCCATGAATACAAAACACCACAATTTCCTGTTCAGAGCAGTTTCTGCTAAATGTGTTTAAAAAAAAAAAAAAAAACCTCGTCTAACGTTGTGATTTATTCCTTCGTTTTCTTCCGTGTATTACTTTTCAAGGATGAACGTTGTGATTTATTTCTTTCGTCTTCTTCCGTGTATTACTTTTCAAGGATGCAATTCAAGATAATATTTTCAGAATTAGGCTTAATTAAAAAAACAGATTTTCTTCCCAAGGCTGCAGTAGTACTGAAGATTGTATCTGAAGTACTTTCTGACAGAACTTTCTGCAGACCACCAGGCTAAGATACGAGGGACGAATATGAACGTACTCTGATAATGCGAGGAATCGCAGCATAATTACGCGATTAGCTGCGATTAAATTTGAATTGAATTGTTGTCCGGCTCCAGTTCCTTCTTCAGTTTGTTGAACTAACTTTATCAGACAAAACAAGATGGAGAAAAAAAAAAAAACAGGAACCAAAGAGTTCCACCGGGGTTCGGAGCTGAGTCACCACCATGACATGTGACGGCAGAAGAAGCTCTGAGGTCAGAGGTCGTGCCCTCTCTGTTTGGTGTCAAGGCGACCAGTGACGGCCTGAAGAACCGATCCACGGGACATGGACTGGAGAACTGTTTGCTGTGACACTGTGACACCAAACAGTTCTCCTGGTGATTACCCAGGATTCAAACTTCCTCTTCCTGTCAAACGCCGACAGTCACAGCTAGTTAAAGCACCGAAAATCATAAATACACGTAGTACTGTATTTTCCAGGGTAGTACTTATTTGGACAGTACACAGTTCCTTGTGCCACTCAGTCAGGGGGAAAAAAAGACGGAGCAGGCGCCAGAAATTTCCAACCTCTTGGGGGCGCCATACAGCATATCAAAATATGAAAAGCTTAGACGACACTTATAAACAGGTGTGAGTTAGCGCCGATCGTGCGTTTGATCGTCCGATTCCGATCATCTCTAGTCCTGGACTATCGGGAAAATAAAGTCAGGTTTTATATAAAAAAATAAAAATCCGATGCTAACACATATACGAACATATAAACGTCAAAGTTCCAGCAGACTTACGGAGGGCGTGCCACTCGTCCTGCCTTATCGTCTTGGTGATGTTGTACGACAGGTTTTTGGGTATCGTAGCTGAGGAGTAGTGGTACTTGATGTAGGAACACCTGGTGATGGAATCTGGAAGGACAGAAAAAAAGAAGTTCGTGAAAAAACATCCCAGACTCTGATCCTCAGCTGGTGGCGCTGCAGTCATGTGATGAAGTACCCAGACAGAACTAGAACCGATGATCGTCCCCCGAAACAATGGAAAAATCCATTAGGGTTCCATTGTTTCAAGGTTAAAGGAACATTCCCAACATTATAATCGGTAACTCTGACATAACAGCTGTCGGAGAAACAGGAGCTGCTAAACCATCAGTCATCACGATCATACCGTGTGTGTGTGTGTGTGTGTGTGTGTGTGTACACACAAATGTGTAAAGTGAGTCCCCAAGGGGTGGGGCGGGGGCACTGCAGACAACCTTCCCTGGAGTAACTTTTTTTAGTAGAAAATAAATTCATTTTTAACAGGTTATATAAAGAGCAGGTCAAACGATGAGCTCGGTGTCGGACTATTTTCAAACGGAGGTCAGCGACCTTTGACCTTTTATTCCTGACGACCTCTCAAAATGCTTTACACTACAGTTCTGCCAGCCGTGCATTTACAAACTGCTGACCTCGGCTCGCTGCCACGTATCGAGCCTGATGTTGGAGGTCGGGTCAGGACGAAGGTTTGGACTCAGAAAAAAAAAACTTCCTGAACCCACGTGGAAGGTATTTGGACTCAGTATCAGGAATACTTTGTTGATTTTTACTGATTTAGTATTTATTGAATTTATTTATTTATTTAGTATTTTATTTTTAAGTTTTATTTATAAGTTTTTGAATTTGACTGATGTTTTAATTTGAAATTCTCTCCCAATTACAAACCCATCTTTATGTCAAGGTGTTTTTCAAAATAAAAGTCTTATTCTTATTTTACTGGCACCATCTCACCATAATATCTGGAGTTAACGATAGATGACTTTCACGTATATGAGTCTAGTCGTATCAAAGGTCACGCCAGAGGTCGCTGACCTCTGACATCTGATATCCAACACACACGCCTGAAGAAATACTTCTAAAAACGGAGAGAAAATGTTTATTTTTCATTGGTCTGAGATTGTGAGATGTTTGTTATTTTTCATTGGTCTGAGATTGTGAGTGTGTGTGCGTGTGTGTGTGTGTGTCTGCTGGGTCTCATGCTGTGGATCCAATTTTCTGGTTGGTGGACAGAGACGTCAGCGCTGCCTCTCGACACCATTACATTAAACTACACGTCTGCTCTAATTGTTTCTGGCGAGCCGGCGTGCGCCGCTGGAAATTCCATTATTGTAGTACCAGTACACCGAAAGTACACAAGCAGAGACAAAGAGGCTCACGTTCAGTACAACCAACTGCACTGGCAACAGATAAACAACACGACCGATCAATTAAACAGCCACGTAAACCAGAAGCTCAACTTCCAGCATGTTGCTTCGTCCTGACCCCTGAACCACGGCTTTAGACCACCTGACTTTAACTGATGGGCCTGTATCTTTGAGGCCTGTTTTGTAATTTTGATTATTTCTTTTTTTTCATTTTGATAGTCTTAGTCAATCATCCAGTAGCCTTCCCTCTATCGCCCCCTGCCTGTGACGTCATAAAGCAGCGCTGAAGAATCACGGATGTTCGTGTGTGACTAATGTTAACAGCGATCGCTCAGGTCGATCCCTAACGTGCGGCGCTGCCGTCTTGTGAACAGCGTTTGTTCTGCCAGCGTCGTTGGCGTCGACATCTCGTGCGGAGGATTCATGGGGCGGATATGGATTTTCTTTCCGTTAAAAAATGAGCCTCTTACAACGGGAGGGATTTCAAATAGGCCAATAAAAGTGATGACCCTGGACAAGGGCCGCTCCGAGCCAAGCTGCTCATTTGAACACGGCTATTACTGAGTCCACGAGAGGCTGAAGTCGGATTTATCTGCAATGAAGGTTTCAGGTTTATTCGTTTTGTTTATTTTTCCTCTGCTGCTGCAGTGAGGAGCAGAGATGCTGCACGATAATTACTCAATCAGGGACGGAGAGTAATTAGTGCTCATTCTCATAAAGGTTTATATTGGAGTAATCAATACTGCTCAGCAATCTGGTCCACAGGAACCAGCAGACTGTTAATGTTCTGATGGAGATGTGTTTCAGTTCAGAGTGAGTGAGTGGGGAATGACAAGTGGTCACAGTCCATTAGGTCCAGAGGTGGAGAAGAAGTAATGAAAGAAAAATCAAACCAAAACAAATCCAACTTCATCTGCACGGTGGCTGAACACCAACCGATCCCCAAAGCTCTAAACTCCATGTGGGCCAACGGTGTGACGTGAAAATGACTAGTCATTATTTTCTAGTACTGACCTTTATTTGTCATTAGTTTTACGATGAGAAACAATTGGACGATTACAAAACAATTTTTTTTTCATGTAGTTCTCCCTTCACTGTTATCACGGAGACCAGAAATAATATTGGAATAAGCGGACCAGACATAAACGGACCAGAAATAAATGGACCAGAAACTCCTTATGAATCTGATCTTTCCTTTCTGACCAGCAGGGGTCTACGTTTGGGGTTTAAAGACCAAAAAGACAGAGAGAAACAGCAGCGTCTCATCAGCAAAAAAGTGAACTTCGTTCGCTGTCATCAATTCTATAGAACAACATACTAGCAGTACTTAGTGTGTACTGTATTTTTATTTTGGTAATTTACTGTTAGAGATGATGATGATGATGATGATGAAGATACTCGGCCGTCCGTTCGTCTCTAACCCTTCAGTTAAAAACATCCTGTGAATGACAAACATTCGACCACAACCTCCTGCATTTGCATTTTGATGATCAGACGCTTCCTCGTTTCATAGGCGTCCATTGTGGGGCGCCACCGCGTGCAGAACAAGTTCTTTCTGGGACGCCATGTAAAAGTCACCTTCACGTCTTCTGCTGAATGAGTAAGCAGGAAGTTTGACAAAGGCCACAGACTCCTATATCAGAGGGGACACTTCCTGTCTTTTTATCGGTGAATTCACAGCCCGCACTTATCACCGAGCACCCACCAGGAATGTCACGGAGTGGGAGGTCGTTCATCACGGAACAAAGACCGGAGTTCTTCATTACTCTGGATGTTTTATGACAACAAAAAAGACGCCCCCAAAGTCCAATATTTACAGATTTTTACTTTTTCTTTAATGGAAAAGTCGACTCTTTCTTGATTCAAAAAATGTGCCGTGTCACCATCATATAAACCAGAGGGAGGGCGGTGTGGGCCGGGGGGGCAGTTAACTTTTCATAGTGGTCGCTAAAGGCCTGAAGCAGAAATAATTTCTGCTCAATATAAAATGAATCCCATGGTAAAATGTAGTACAGCATATGATGTGATTTTGCTAGTGGTTGCTAGCCCTTTAGCATCACAGGGGGGGCGGGGGGGTGGGGGGTCTGCAGGAAACATTTACTGGAGCATGCCGTATGAAACCTAGGTGAACTGAGAGACCCTTCCCGCTGCTCCACCGACCCCCCCTCCCCCCACGGCCTCTCACACAGCGTGCTGGGTGTCAGATAGCACAGCTCCATCTATCTGTATGTGTGTGCTGTGCCAAGAAGAGGATCTGTCAATATCTGTCTGACAAAAGATGATGGCATATGGGCCAGAAGGAGACAACGGGTAAGTGATTTCAGTATCGATCAGGTCGTCTTTCCAGATTAATCATCTGCTCAACGGCTGCAAGAAAAAAAAAAGGAAAAAAAAAACTGCGATCCATCACGGCTTTGTTCATAGAAACACTTACATCCTAAAGAGAAAGAAAAAAAATGCTGTAGTGAACAATTTTTTGTTGACTTTTGATGTAGACGTTTGTCGTTGAGCTTTGTCTGATTGATGTAGCGTTAGCTTCGTCCCAAGTCGCGGTCGATTCCCACAGTTTTGATTCCATCGTAGTTTTATCACTGCCACATCAGGAAGTCCGGTAAAAATCACAACAACTGAAGTGAAACTTAATGCCAACAGATACAGAGAGTTGACACGGATCCGCAAACAAAGTCTGCGTCTAAACGGAGCCGTGAAATACGACTGCGGTCCCTGTAGTACATATTCCAGACCTGTGTGTGGCGCTGTGTTGAGCACGCTCTAACATACTGTAGTCATGATGTTCAATTCATGTTGTAATAAAAGGGGTTAAACGTTTTCAGGAGCCGGGATTAAAACGTTAGAAAGTTCAGCGTGAGTTGAAAAAAACGAAATAAAGTTTTTAAAAAAGCACCGAGGCATAATCCGTCACTAGGACATTACGATAGTAATACCGGAAGAATTAGCAATTTACCGGAAGTTCGGAAAACCGGGAAAGAACCCGCCGAGCTTCTGTGTGTGTGTTAGCTTGCAAACTGTAGCACACCAATTAGCCGAATTGGCTTCTTCAGACACGAGCAGAAGGAACACGGTTTCCGCCGTTGTTGTTATTGTGGTGCGTCAGACGAACGCACACAAATTAGCGCTACCGCTCCGAGAGGCGCAGCCGTAGTAGAAGATAGTGAAGCAACAGGAAGTAGGAGAAGAAGAAGAAAATAGCAGAGAACGTTTGCGGATGTAGAGAAAGAAGGTGAGAATAAAGATGTCGGTGAACTTTTCAATTCTTTTTTTCGTCTAATCCAAACACTAAGAACAAAAATAAACATTTGCTCGTTACTCTTTTAAAGTGCGTTTCCTGTTTTGTATTCGTGCCCCCGGTTATCTAGTCTGCCTGGTTAAAATATTTATGAAGAGATAAAAATAAATATAAAAAGCCGTTTGTCACCAGAGTAAATATGTTTTTATGGCTGTGGGTGATTTATTTGAACTTAACACAATACAGATAATAAGATGTGAACACTGTGATATGAATGAGTTACAGTAACAGCTACAACAACGTATATGTAACAGTCACGTGGTTACTGTACACACACACACACACACACACCACTGGGATGTAGTCCATGTTGTGAATGGGAATTAATCCCAAACCCACTTGTTTTTGGCGAAATTCACACTGGTTTAAAACTAACTTGATTGGTGTTTTTGGCCAACCTTTAAGTTATTATTACCTTACTATTTTTTAGCTTTTTTTGTTTTGTTTTTTTGCCAATTTCAAACTTTTTATGACTCGAATCCCAGTGGCTATTAGCTAAATTTATAGTTGTGTTTGGCTAACTTCCCTTTGTTTTCGCTAACTTTGTTCTTGGCTTTAGTTCACACTGGTTACGAGCCAATTCTATTGTTGTTTTTGGCTAAGTTTATATATATATATATTGGCTGACTTGATATTTTGTTGTTGGCTCAAATCCCACTGGTTATTAGCTAACTATATAGTTGTTGTTTTTGCTAACTATATAGTTTTTTTTATGGTCCTCATCAAACTTTTTTAGCTAACTTTATCGCTGTTTCTGTCCTACTTTAAAACGAACCGACATGGAGAAGAGGATGTATCAAAGCTGAAGAGAGCGCTCTGAGACCAGAGGTTAGTCACAAGAACTACTTCACTCAGCTCTGGGACTTGAACATATCACGTCCTACTGCTCTTCCAAATGGACATGTAACTCCTTTGGACTAAATTGCTCACCAGAGTTCTGAGAATTCCCAAAGTCAGACACCATTTTTTAATGACTAAGTGGAAGTGATGTCACTGAAAGAGTTGATCCGCGTGAGTGTGTGAGAACTTCTCCTCCAGGGGGAGTGAATCAGATCTACTTGTTATTTTTGGACCATGAATGAGTCTGAACAGCTGGACTGTGGACGGAAACTCAGAGTCTAATTTTCTCCACCGAGTCACCGTGTGACTTGACCTTTGGGGAAGACTTCGTTCCCAAATCTGTAGATGTGGGATTGAGGGGGAGGTTATAGTCAAAGGATGTTTGACTGAGGATTTGTCAGGGACCAGGTCGCTGGTCCAACCGTGGTCACTCCAACAGGGAGGCGTCTCTGAACCAATCAGACTGGTTGGCTCGTCTGTTTCCTCGCAATTACGACAATATGACAATAATTAATGTAGAATTTATTTCTTGGATTAGAATAACACCGTTTAAAAACATGTCTGTGTTTTAATGAAAACTCAACGTCTTCTTTCTTTGGCTGCAGGACCTGGAGGCTCGAGGACTCCCTGCCATATGGAAGGTCCTGCTACAGTTCAAGCTCTACGTGACCTCGTTTGTTTTTTTTGTTTTGTTTTAACCCACTTTGTCTCCCCCTCTGGCCCCTCCTCCCTGCTCCAACAGCTACATCCATGGGATTAGAACAGAGAGGCTTCACAGCTGAGCTGATCCACACAGGGAGAACCAGATGTGGACCAGAGGCTGGACCAGAGGCGGGACCAGAGGTCGGAGAGGGTCAGTGGGCCTCGCTATCATTGATTGTTCTGAGACTGTGAGTGAAGTAGGCACTGATGTGATATTTTCGTGGGGGGAGGGTGTGTTCTCCCATTTCTGGCTTCTTTTCCCCTCCAAATGTGACCCCCCCCCCCCCCCA